GGTTGGGTCTTTGTTGGGGGCTTTGTTGTCACCATGGGGTTGCTTGGGTCTTTGTTGGTGAGTTTGCTGACACTTTGGGGTTGGGTGGGTCTCCATGGGGTCACCGTGGGGTTGGGTGGGTCTTTGTTGGGGGCTTTGGTGTCACTGTGGGGTTGGGTGGCTCTTCATGGGGTCACTATGGTGTTGGGTGGGTCTCCATGTTGGGTCTCCATGGGGTCACCGTGGGGTTGGTTGGGTCTTCATTGGGGGCTTTGTTGACACCATGGGGTTGGGTGGGTCTTTGTTGGGGGCTTTGGTGTCACCGTGGGGTTGGTTGGGTCACTGTTGGTGAGTTTGGTGTCTCTATGGGGTTTGGTGGGTCTCCATGGGGTCACTATGGGATTGGGTGGGTCTCCACTGGGGGCTTTGGGGTTGCTTGGGTCTTTGCTGGGGGCTTCGGTGTCACCATGGGGTTGGTTGGGTCTCCATTGGGGGCTTTGGGGTTGGTTGGGTCTTCATTGGGGGCTTTGGTCACTGTAGGGTTGGGTGGGTCTCCATGGGGTCACCATGGGGTTGGTTGGGTCGCTACTGGGGGCTTTGGTGTCACCATGGGTTTGGGTGGGTCTCCATGGGGTCTCCATGGGGTTGGTTGGGTCTTTGTTGGGGGCTTTGTTGTCACCGTGGGGTTGTGTGGGTCTCCATGGGGTCACCATGGGGTTGGTTGGGTTTTTGTTGGGGGCTTTGGTGTCACTATGGGGTTGGGTGGGTCTCCATGGGGTCACCGTGGGGTTGGTTGGGTCTCCATGGGGTCACCATGGGGTCACCATGGGGTTGGTTGGGTCTCTATTCGGGGCCTTGGTGTCACCATGGTGTTGAGTGGGTCCCCATGTCACCGTGGGGTCGCAGTCCCTTTTTGGGTCTCTGCAGGGATTTTGGTGTCACCGTGGGGTCCCTGTCCCCTTTCGTGTCCCCGTGGGGACTTTGCCGTGCCGTCGCCCACAGGTTTGAGAGCCTGGACCAGGAGATGAACAGCGTGATGGGCCGCATCCTGGACGTCAACCAGGTGGTGCAGCAGCTGGTGGAGGGGGGCCACCCCAGCGCCGAGGAGGTGTGCGCCTGCCAGGACCACCTCAACGGAAGGTAGCGGTGTGGGGTCTCCCTTTGGGGTCCTACCGTGGGATGAAGGCGTCCCAAGAGTTGGAGATGCCATCCTTCTCAAGATCTTGGGGGAGGAACCGCTTGTAGGGCTTCAAGCCCTGATCCTATGGTTCTCCCAACCTTGTGGGATGTCCCCAGAGAGCTGCCAGTCTTGTAGGACATCCCATGGGGTTTTGCTCCAGTCCAATGGGGCGAGGATATCCCAAGAGTTGGCAATGGCCAAGGAGATCCCATCCTTCTCAAGATCTTGGTGGAGGAACCACTTATAGGGCTTCAATCCCTGATCCTATGGTTGTCCCAACCTGGTGGGACGTCCCCATAGAGCTGTCAGTTTTATAGGACATCCCATGGGGTTTTCTCCAGCAGAATGGGGTGAGGATGACCCAAGAGTTGGCGATGGCCAAGGAGATCCCATCCTTCTCAAGATCTTGGGGGAGGAACCGCTTGTAGGGCTTCAATCCCTGATCCTATGGTTGTCCCAACGTTGTGGGACGTCCCCATAGAGCTGCCAGTCTTGTAGGACATCCCATGGGGTTTTGCTCCAGTCCAATGGGGCGAGGATGTCCCAAGAGTTGGCGATGGCCAAGGAGATCCTATAGATCTCAAGATCTTGGGGGAGGAACCGCTTGTAGGGCTTCAACGCCTGATCCTATGGTTGTCCCAAACTTCTGGGACGTCCCCATAGAGCTGCCAGTCTTGTAGGACATCCCATGGGGTTTTGCTCCAGTAGAATGGGGCGAGGATATCCCAAGAGTTGGCGATGGCCAAGGAGATCCCATCCTTCTCAAGATCTTGGGGGAGGAACCGCTTGTAGGGCTTCAAGCCCTGATCCTATGGTTGTCGCAAGGTGGTGCGACGTGCCCATAAGGCTGTCAGTTCTATGGGACATCCCATTGGGTTTTCACCGGCAGAATGGGTCGAGGATGTCCCAAGAGTTGGCGATGGCCAAAGGAGATCCTATAGATCTCAAGATCTTGGTGGAGGAACCGCTTGTAGGGCTTCAATCCCTGATCCTATGGTTGTCCCAACCTTGTGGGATGTCCCCACAGAGCTGTCAGTCTTGTAGGACATCCCATGGGGTTTTGCTCCAGTCCAATGGGGCGAGGATGTCCCAAGAGTTGGCAATGGCCAAGGAGATCCTATAGATCTCAAGATCTTGGGGGAGGAACCACTTGTAGGGTTTCATTCCCTCATCCCACGGTGTTCCCAGTGGGGTGGGATGTCCCCATGGAGCTGCCAGGCTTATGGGATGTCCCCATGGGGTCCTATTGTAGTGCAGTGGGGCGAGGATGTCCCAAGAGTTGGCGATGGCCAAAGGAGATCCTATAGATCTCAAGATCTTGGGGGAGGAACCACTTGTAGGGCTTCAACGCCTGATCCTATGGTTCTCCCAACCTGGTGGGACGTCCCCATAGAGCTGCCAGTCTTGTAGGACATCCCATGGGGTTTTGCTCCAGTAAAATGGGGCGAGGATGCCCCAAGAGTTGGCGATGGCCAAAGGAGATCCTACAGATCTCAAGATCTTGGGGGAGGAACCGCTTGTAGGGCTTCAAGCCCTGATCCTATGGTTGTCCCAACCTTCTGGGACGTCCCCATAGAACTGTCAGTTTTATAGGACATCCCATGGGGTTTTGCTCCAGTCCAATGGGGCGAGGATGACCCAAGAGTTGGCGATGGCCAAAGGAGATCCTACAGATCTCAAGATCTTGGGGGAGGAACCACTTGTAGGGCTTCAAGCCCTGATCCTATGGTTGTCCCAACCTGGTGGGACATCCCCATAGAGCCGTCAGTCTTGTAGGACATCCCATGGGGTTTTGCTCCAGTCCAATGGGGTGAGGATGTCCCAAGAGTTGGCAATGGCCAAGGAGATCCTATAGATCTCAAGATCTTGGGGGAGGAACCACTTGTAGGGTTTCATTCCGTCATCCCACGGTGTTCCCAGTGGGGTGGG